AGACGCACGGGAGCTTGTCCGCGGCGGTGGGGGGGGGGGGAAGGGGCGACGTGAAGGGCGCCTTCCGCCCGCTGTGGATGCCCTTGTTTCTGCGGCGCTACTTCTGCTTCCCTCCTGTTCGGGGCGGGGCGCTGGGCCTAGCTGGCAAGGCGGTGGAGGGCCAAGTGCTAGCGGGCAACGAGCAGGTGCAGCCGCGCCCCGCGGCCTTCCCCACGGGCTTCTCGCCGAGCCCCATTTCCATTGCCAGGTCTCGGGGGAGAAGCTGGCGAGCGCCGTCGAGCCGCTGGGGTCGAAACCCTGCTGCGCCGCCGCCAGCCGGCCGCCGGCGCTGGGCCGCGAGCAGCAGGGCTCGCTGCGCCGCTGCATTTACGCGGGCAACACGGGCGTGCTGGGGGCCCGGAGGCCTAGAGTCGAGAAGACGTTCGAGGGGGCGATGGGCGCCTTCGCCCAGAAGCGCGACCGCGGGCGCCGTCGAGGCGCTGGGCGCGGAGATCGACGGGACGGGCAGCCCGTGCAGACCCGCGCCTCGGGCAAGAGGCGGCTGCGCGCCAGGCAGGCGATCGCTGGGCTGCTCTAGCGGGGGCGTTGCTCGGGCAGTGCGCTGGAGGTGCTGCTGGGGTACCTCGCGTTCCTGGCGATGTCACAGCGCCCTGCGCTGCCCTGCATTCATGTCTGCTACGCTTTCAGCAGGAAACACGATCTGCGTGCAAAGCCCATGTGGCCAAGTGTGATTGAGGAGCTTCGTGCGTTCGCAGGTGTGATTATTTCCATTTGCAGCGATTGGGCACGTCCGCGGAATCAGCATGTCCTGGCCTCAGATGCCTCCGAGTTTGGGTTCGGCGCGACCGGAGCGCGGCGGCCTCTTGAGATGGTGCCGGAGACTGGTCGGCGTCGCGAGAGGGGTGGATTCTTGGCGCCCGAAGCCGCGAACGCTCGCGCCTCTGCTTTGGGTGATGAGTGCGTCTCGTGCGTCGCGGATGCCTTCGTGAACCGTGCCGAGCTTGTCTTGGGAAGTGGAGGGTCTGTAGGTTTGAGGGCGGCGCTGCCCCCCGGCGCCCGGGAGCTTGACCCCGAGTTTTTGCGGATTCTTCGGGCCGGTCTGGAACTGAAGTTGCGGGGCCCGATGTTTTGAAGGCTTTGGCGTTGGAGGCAGGGGGTTGCGCTCCTCGAAACCCGAGCCTTAGTCGCGAGTATTCGCAGGCTTGCTCTCCTCACCTTCGGACAGAACCTTCGTCAGCTGGCGCCAGTAGATGACGTGGGGGTCTGTCTCGCTTTCGACGGGTGCCGAGCGAGAGAATGCCTTCTGCCAGATCAAGTTCGTCGTTTTGTAGCTGCTGCCCCCTAAGAATATATACGCGGTGGTGCGGTGGATGCGGTCGGAGGTCAATGGCGCTGACGGCCCCTGTCGAATTCGCGACCCATCGATGGGGGGTAGAATCTCGGGGGGGGGCAATTCCAAGGTTGATGGAGCACGGACCTGCTTCAAGAGGTTCGATTCGGATAAGGCCATCGTTCCCTCCTCCTTCTCGCTGCTTCCTGGTCGTCCGTCGCCGCCGAGACTCGTCGCCGTTTGGGCCCGGACTAGCGGGGCCTCGGCCCATTCTGGCGTCGGTCGAGGTTCCGTTGAGCCCACTTTCCGAAGCAGACGACGGGCGCGGCTGATGGCAGGCCGCGGGCCAGACTGGAGCCAGGGATGAGGCGGCGAACGCTGGCGCCTCCCACCGCTCCAGCCTTGGCGAGAGCTGCGGGCGCCGCGAAGCGGAGGAGGGGGCTGGAGGCGATTCAACAGGCCCCCGAGCAGCCGCGGCCCGGCGGATGGTTGGAGCCCGCCAGGCGGACGGCGCAGCAGGCTCTGGGGACCTTGGCGGAGCAGGAACCAGGCCCCCACGACGCCCGATACGGCGCAGCGTCGCGAGGGGGCGTTGCTCAGCAGAGCAGCTCCAGCAGCGCCGGGGCGACGTCCGACGGCGCAGAGCAGCCGAGCGGGGGGCGAGAGCGTGTCCATCGGCATCGTCGAAGGCGCCAGGCGATGAACTACGCGACGGAGGCCCGCGAGCTGCTGAACATAGGAAGCAGCCTTCTCGAGCAACAGGCCGCGCAGGAGCAGGCCCGCAAGCAGTGCCAGGCGGAGCTGGACCGCTGGAAGGGCCCCGGCCGCATCGACAACAAGGTCCTGACCGACGAGGAGGTCGACGAGTCGCTGGCGCGGCTTTTCGAGCGGGACGTCTTCCTGGGGGAGCAGGCCCACCGCGGCGCCAAGCTGATGGCCCCGCTGATGCGCGTGGAGCCGCGGCTGGGGCGGCGCAGCGATCGCCGCGTCCCGAGGGCCAGGAGTGCTCTCAAGGGATGGCGGCGCCCGGCGCCCGGGAGGTCGCGGCGGCCCGAGCCCCTCAGTCTGGGGGTTGGCCTGGCGAACGAGATGGCGAAGAGAGGCGAGGTTCGGATGGCGCTGTTCGTCTTGCTCTCAGTCAGTACCTACCGGAGACCGAGCAGCATCCTCGCGTAGGGGCCCGAGAGTTTCTTGGCGCCGAAGACTGCCCGCGGCTTCTGGAGCTTGCTTGTTCGCCCAGCCGAGAGAGGGGTGCCCGACCAGATAGGCGAGTTCGACCACTCGATGATGTTGGACAGTCCCTGGCTTCAGTTCATTGGTCCTCTCTTGCGTTTCTCGGCAAGTCCGACTTCGCGGAATGCGGTCTGGGGGTTCACGCACTGGGGGCGCCTCAGGGTGTTCAGCGACTGTGCAAAGGCGCTGGGGGTGAGCGTGGCGCCATACCAAACAAGGCACTCGGGGGCTTCGATCGACCGTGAGAGCCAGTGGAAAACCCTAAGCGAAGTAAAGCAACGAGGGGGTTGGAAAGCGGACAGCAGCGCGATGAGGTACGAGAAGCATGCTCGTCTTCGACACAGCGAGCTGCGGTTTTCAGCAAGGCTACGTCAGCACCTGCAGGCGTGCGAGCAACAGCTAGAGGATGTGATCTTGCGGGCCAGGGTCGTAATGCGGCGCAGCTACATGGGTCGCGTGGGCAGCGGTTTAAAGTTGCGTTTTCGGGAGCACGCGGAGTGGCGAAGGCTCTCCGCCAGCAGGGCTATGCTTCCAAGGAGCTGGAACTTAAGACAGGTGTTGATATCCTGCACCGTTTGTCGCGCGTAATGCTTCTGTCGAATGTGAGGCTGGGTAAGATCGCAAGTGCTATGATCGCGCTGCCGTGCATGTCTTTTTCAGTAGCCCAAGCCGGTCGTCTTGGGTCAGAGCTCCATCCGATGTGGCTGCCAGATTTGCCGCCCCACCTGCAGGCCCGCATTGATCACGGGAGCGTTCTTCTGAATGCTCGGATGCAGCTAATTAGAGCTTGTAAGGCCCACGGAGCCCCATGTATATGGCAGAATCCAGGTAGTTCCTGCGCTTTCAAAACTCCAGCCTTTCAGGAATTGTTGAGGTTAGGCTGGTGCTTTGAAGTTGTTAGCGACCAGTGCCAATACAGCACTCGGTGGAGAAAGAGAGCCAAGTTTATTGTGGGTATCATCTGTGCCGATGACTGTGGTCGGCTAGGAAAAAGCAGCGCCCGGCCCGTAGAGGCCTGTGCTCCAGCACGGGAAAAGCGCATTGGCATCTTTCATGAAAGACTAAAACAAGAATTCAGTGGACTTCGATCGCCGTTGAATGTCGTCGTGTCTTGGGAGACGATTTAGCCTTGTACCCTGTCAGCCCCCTCCAAAGCTCGCCTCCAAGAGTGCTGACAGGGTCCGCTCGGACCGTGACTCTTTCCTGTGTTGTGTTCTTTCGCTCGCTTTCCAGGATCCTGCCGTCGGATCTGTGAACATCTGGGTTGGGATGGTTTGGGGCGATTTGCAGCGGTTGCGCGTAGACGCTGCCCGTGAGACTCGAGACGCATCCTCCGCTGTGTGAGATATCCAACATAGTAAAATCAATGATTTTGGCACTCTCGCCGAGGCCTCTTGGAGCGTTTTGGGTGCCTCTGGGGGGCCTCTTGGAGCCTCTTGGAGGTCTCTTGGGAGCCTCTTGAGGGCATCCTGGGGGCCTCTTGGTGCCTCCCGGGGTCCTCTTGGGGCACCCTTGGGAGCCTTGGGAGCGCTCTTGGGGCCATCTCGGAGGAGATCGATCAACGAAGGGGGGGTCTCAATTAGCGCCGCCCCCCCAAAAGGCCAACATGGGGCCAAATCCATGGTAAAAACAATGATTTTGGCTTCCTCGCCGAGGCCGTTATGCCAGACGCTCCGGCGACCCGCGGAACGCCCCCTCCAGGTCCAGGGGAAAGGGGTAGGGCGAGGGGTAAGCCCCTCCCCGAAGGTGAAGAAGGGGGTGGAAGAGGAAACACCCTAAACCACCTACGCCCTAAAGGGCTGGTGGGATTCTGGTCAGATCGCACCCTGGGAGAGGTCCGGCGAGTAGCGGTATGGGGAATTTTAGGTTTCCTCAGCGGTGGGAGCTTACCACCAGAAGGATCATTGCGATCCGATCGATCCGATCTGATATCGATCCCCGCCAGCCCGATCCGATTCGATGTTCATTTTCGGGAGATCCGATGCGGCACGATGCTTGCATGGTGCTGTTGTGCATCCTGGCGGTTCCGACTCCGTGCCGGTTCCGGCTCCGATTCCAGCCCGATCCGTCGCAGATTCCGATTCGACCAGATTTCCCCATTCGATGCCGACTGTCCTTGCCCTCCCTGGCTCCTCGTGATGGTGGTGGTGCTGTTTTTTTTCTCCTGCTTGCCAGAGAGAAAGAGAGAGACAGAGAGAAAGAAAGAGAAGGAGAGAGGGAGAGAGAAAAAGACTGGCAGACAGACAGACAGACAGACAGACAGACAGACAGACAGACAGACAGACAGACAGACAGACAGACAGACAGACAGACAGACAGACAGACAGACAGACAGAGAGGGGTGAGTGAGGGCGGCGGAGAGGTAGTGCGTCCCCCCTCATTCTCCGCCTCGTTGTGTTACTCTTCGGGAGGGCGTCCCTCCTCCTCGTGGCCCTAGGTGAGGGAGCTGAAGAACGAGCGCGACATGGTCAAGGAGCACTTGGACAAGGCCAGCGCGCCGCTCCCTCCGCATGGTGCGCCTCGCTGGCACCTCGCGGCCCTCATCGCGGTGGCTCGCCTGTCGACGCTCCTTCCGTCGCCGCGCCTCCCGCCACCTTCAGGCGGCGACGGAACTGGCTTGCCAGCAGGTGCCACGCGGAATTGTCTTACTCCCTGATGGCCTCCGGGACCCACAGCAGCCACGAGGCAGCTCCAGAAGCTCAATGCTCGACAGCATACGTGCTCACTGGTTTCTGATGGCAAGGTTTCTTATCGCGCGTGTCCATTGAGCTGACGCTCCAGTGGCGCGACCGCCGCCGCCGGACGCGGGCGTGACGGTCCTGGCCTGCCCGGTGGCCTCCGCCCCATGCCGCGGCACCGACCTGGGCCCAGTGCCATGCCGTGGAGGAGAGAAGCGCCCGCTCCTGCGCTGGCCGCGGTCAGCGCGGTCGCCGACGGGCCGTTACCGAATGGCTCGGCCCCGCCGCCGTCGCCTTGGGCGCTGATTGGGACAATTGTTTCGGACGTTTTGCGTCGGTTCTCGGCTCGAGGCGGGGATTTATCCATAACCACCGCCTGGGGGATCGGTCTTCGCGGACCTCCACATGCAGCGGATATGGATATATTCGAGCCCCCCGGGGGCCACAATGTCGGAGGTTGGGGGGTGACATCGCAGAGGGACTGAGAGCCCCCATGGCCCTAGGGGACATCGGTTTCGGTTTCGTGTTTGTGTCATGCGTGCGGGCGGGGCGAAGCTGCGTGGGCGCGCGAGGGGAATGACCCCGCCGTCGCTACGGCGATCGGATGCCGTGGACCGCCCCTCCGCCCCCGGGGGGCGCGCCGTGCCCTGGGGCGTCCCGTCGTGGTGTCCTACGGTGTCACGGTGGTGTCCCGTAGGTGTCGGTGTTCCGTCGGCGCTGGGCGGGCGGTGGCCAGGGGTGTCCCGCCTTGGTACCGATAGTGAAGTCGATCGTGAGATCGACCGTGAGATCGCCAGAAGGGGATGGACACTGGTACCAACAGTGAGATCGACAGTGAGGTTGATTGTGACATTGCATGTGGGATTGATCGTGAGACCGATCGCGGGATCGATCGAATAATCGATCGTGGGATCGATAATGAGATCGCTCGGGGTAAATAGCGATAACTGAAGTCATATCGATCGTGAGATTGAGTATTCTCGATCGGGTGTGGTCGGTCCTGTGCTGATGGGATCGATGTTGGGGTCGAACATGAATTCGGGCTCGCCATCGTTTGTGAGATCGGTTCAGTGGTTGTTTTGGATTTCTTCCTAGCCACCACTCATCGCATTGCAACCACCGCGGCCAGTGCGATCAATATCGCGGCCACAGCGACAATTTCTACCGCAGCGGCGCGGCCCAAACAACCAGACGCACGACCCTTTCTGACGCCCCTTCGCCATGTCTGCGGCGGCGTGGCCCAAACAACCAGACGCACGACCCTTTCTTACGCCTCTTCGCCATGTCTGGCGCACGCCTCTTCAGCAGTGCCCTGTCGCCGCCAGGCTTTGCCAACGGTCTGCCGCCAGGCTCTGCCAGCGGCGTTGAGTACGGGGGGCCGCGCAGGTTGGCGCAGCGTTTCCGGTATCCCGTTGGCTCCAGAGCGGGTTCGGTGGAGCTCGCTCGAAGCTGCGTCATGTCGGGCCAACACTTGTTCGATGCTATGGGCAAAGTGTCAAGGGTGACGCGGGCGGCGCGGCAGCAGACGACACTCTCTCAGGGTAACGTCGGCCACCGTTGCATGGAGCAGAATGCGCTGGCGCATGTGGATGGGTATTCCTGTAAACCGCAGGTGTTCGAGCTCGCCCGCCCCCGGCGCGTCAAGTCCAGTCGTGCGCCCTGGGCGGTCGCGGCCTGCTTCGATCAGCCGCCGCAGGGCATGGCAGCAGAGGTTCAGTGCGTCCTGCTTCGCGTCGCTCGTGGCAGGGGGCTCCTTCCAGAGTGCGCGCGCGCTCGCTGCGCCAGCGCGCTGAAAAAGGCGGGTGCCGAAGTGCTGGGAGACGAGATGCCGGCGTCTTAGCGCTCTCCGAGGAAGAGCGGAAGCGCTGCAGAAGTGATCTCGCAGGCCCCGACGATGGCGACATTACATCGCGTCGCAACATCGCCATCGCCCGCTGTCGCAACTCTAGGGCGTGTCGCCAGCACCGTCGTCGGCGCGCCCGTTCCATTTGCCGGCCATTGGTTCTTGCCCCCCGCCCCCCGACCTCCTTTGCGCCCGTAGCGCGGTCGCAACAGGCATCCGTGCTCGCTGCCCGCTGGAGCTCAGGGCGTCGACGCCCGGGCGGTGGAAGCGGGTGAATCCCTCGGCCTCGGGATGCCCTCCAGCGGCTGCGCCTCGCCCAGAGCGTTTCGGGAGTGCGTGAATCGCGTGTGCGTCGTTTGCCATTTATCGCAGTGTTGGCTGCGTGTAGTTTTTGTTGATGTGTCCTTTTCCTCCGCGTTTCTTGCGGAGCTGTTTGGAGGCCTACGAAGGCGCCGGGGGACGGACTCTTGATTGAAGTTGTTCAAGGTTCCAGGGTTTTTTGGGGCTCTTTGGGTCTTTGTTTGAGTACCTCTTGGTGTCGCGTTGGGGGGGGGCTCCTCTGGGAGAAGGCTCCCCTGGTCCTTGCGGTATCCCCCCCGTGGGCCCTTGTTTGGAGCTTCACCTGGTTTTTATTGTCGACGTTTTGGGTGCCATCTTGGTGCCCTGTTGGGCCGTCTCCGCGCTTCGTTGGGTGCCGTACTGGGCCAGTCTAGGGGGGCCTTTCGCGCCAGTTTGAACTTACAGACGCCCAAAATCCGAGAACACGAACGCCAGCTCAAAGATCTAACAAAATCAATGTTGTGCTGCTCTTATGACCTTCTTGGGGATCCTCTGTGGGTCTTTTTCAATGTCCTCGGTAAATGTGTTTCATGTCACCTGGGCGTGCTGGTGTCCTTCCTGCGCCGCCTTGGGGAACATGTTCGAGCCGACGGAGGCTGGAGTTGCAGCTTCTGGAGGCACCAAGGAGGCGTTGAGGAACTCGCCCCCCTGTCCCCCTTAAACTCGACGTTGGACCATGGGGGAAGGGGAAACATTGAGGGGACAGCCAACCATCTCACACCACTTTGCACCCCCGGCAAGTAGGGTTCGGCTGATCGTGTCGCACTGTACGACAATTGCTGCACGCAGCTGGTTGCGACCCCTCCTTCGGACGCCTTCTTCGACAGATGGGCGCCGGGAAAGCCATCCGCGTGACTTGATTCGCTAACCCTCCTGTTATTGACTTCCAGGAACCAGCATCGGAGTACAATGTTATGTTATCACTGGTGCGGCTCTTTGATTTGACTTCATCATTCAGACAGCTGCCGAGCTTTTGGGCATACTACACGATCGGGCGCAACAGTAAGTCTAGGTTTCAAGCCTCGAAAAATTTGAAATCAATCCGCTACCCGAGCGATGTCCGAACACCTCGTGCCACTTGCAATCGTTCTACCCCGTGCCCCTGTTTTCGTCAGGTCCGAGAAGGCCTGCCCTCGGCGCCATCTCGGCGGCCGGTATCCGTCACTGTCGCCATTGGTGTTTCGAGGAAGACAGTTCGCTTCAACATAAAAACTCAGAGGTCCCACCGCAGCTGGCTGGAACAACTCATGCCGCTCAGTGTATCTACCTGTCGGTTGGCAACTATCCACAGCATTGTAGGGACAGTTGGGTTGCCTTGTGCTGTATTGTGTTTGTTCGGAGACAACGTTCATACCGCCCGCGAAACGAACTTTCGGATCTTCCGTGGCTTTATTGGATTAGGGCAAGGCTCCCCTCGCTGGCGCGCGGAGCCCGCAGGGGCGGCGCTGAAGGTGCCGCCGCGGGGCTCCAGTGCAGGTCCAAGAAACCAGTGCGGACCTCCGAAAGCTGATGCTCGTGTGTTGGTGTGTGTAGTAGATGTGTCATAGAATGCGTATGCTTTCCCAAAGAGGAGGCTTGCATTTCGGGTCTGAGTTGCGTCAGTAAGGGATTGGACGGGTCCGACGAAGATGTCCCCCGTTAGCGCCAGTGCGGCCTCTTGGGCGCTCGTGGGCGCCCCGTGCCCTGGGTGGGCCCGCCGAGGTTTCGCCGCGTTGGCCCCCCCCCCGTGCATAGCGTCGTTGACATAGCTTGCACTGCATAGCGCAAGCCGCACATTTTAGACCGCACAGTTTGCAGCACATAGCTGGCACCACATAGGTCACACCGCACAGCTTACGCCACACCGCTCACACCGCACAGCTAACATCACATAGCTCACCCCGCACAGTTTCCACCTCCACAGTGCAATCACGCACAGGGACCCATGCACATTTTTTGGTGGAGGCCCGCGCGAACCTCAGAGACATTTGGTTGATTGGCTCTTGACATCGCGGTGTTATCCAACGTGGAGCCCATATAGTGCGTGTCTAGCAAGTTATGTGGTGCATGCTATGCTGAGCAATCTGTGTGGAGCAGTCTACGTGGTGCAATCCAGATGGTGCAATGTAAGCGGTGCAGGATTTGTCGTGTAATCTATGCGGTGCTAACTACGCGGTGCAATGTACCCTGCCTGGCTTGAAGTTGTCAACTTCATTGCTCGCGCAATCGCCCCACCCACACACCCGTAACTTGGTTTGCAAAAGCCATGCGGCGGCGATTGTGATTACTGATTGGCGTTGGATGGCACATCGCTGCGGCCGCGGTAGCGCGCGCACCCTCGCGCGCAGAGCGGCCTGCTAGTGTGGCTCGACGAACTCGGCCGCAATGGCGCTGACTGTTGGGCACTTCCCAGCGCGTCTCGCAGGCATCGCTGACGCGCGGGCACTCCTGTGCGAGTTGGTGGCTCGGGCGGGCGCGGTATCATAGCGACGTCGACGACGGCCGACACGATGATGATAGTAGCGAAGCTGGTGACGATGATGGCAATGACGACGGCAAGGCCAATGACGGCGCCGATGATGCTCACGCCGACGACGATGATGGTGTCCACGTGCCGGTGATGAAAGGTTTTGGAAGGAGTTGGACATGCGCGCGCGGCCGACGCGCGCAGGACTGGCCCGCATGGTATGTGTTTGTAAGGGAGCCCGCGCGCAAGGGCTTTCGAATGATTCCAGCACGCGCGTGCGAAAGGTCCGTTTGATCGTTTTTGGTCAACGTGTAGAGGCCCGTGGTTTGATTCAGTGTTGGCAAAGCGCGCGAATGTGTTCAAACTCCTCGTTGCAAAACCATGTATCGACTCTGTGTTTCGGACGCTCGATTTTGAAACCCCTACGACACCCAATGTTTCTCAGGATTCCCGCATGCGCGCGCGACGACGAGCGCGCATGCACTTGTAAAAGGGTTTTACAAGTTCAAGAAACGTGATAAACGAGCGCGCGCATAGTATGATTTGACTAGGACGAGGGGGGGTCGGTACCTGTTTGGCTGGATTGGTAATCATAATTCGCGCATCCCCCCCAGCCCATCCAGAAACGATGCCCAGGGGAGTTGAGAAGATCAGGGAAGTGGGGGAGCATGCAGAAGTACACAGGGCGTCATATCCCCAACGGGGGGGGGAATAGAGGAGGAATCGTCGTCGTCGTCGTCGTAGGAGGAGGAGGAGGAGGAGGACGAAGAGGAGGAGGAGGAGGAGGAGGGCGAGGAGGAGGAGGACGAACAGGACAAGGCGCCGCCAAAATCGCCTCTTGGCGCCCTCTTGGAGCGCTCTTGTGGCGCTGTTTGGCGCTCTTAGGGCCGTCTTGGAGCTCTCTTGGGCCTCTCTTGGGGTCCTCTTGGGCCATCTTGGGCCATCTTGAGGCCTCGGAAGGCTATGAAAAGGGAAGGGGCGACGATGCAACAGTCATTGCTTTACATTTGGTTGTTGGAGGATTTGGGCTTCTTAGGGGCCTCCTTGGAGGTTTCGGAGGCGTTTTGGAGCCGTCTTCGAGCCGTCTTGGAGCGTTCTGGGGCCCCTGTGAGCATCTTGGGAGCCGACTTGAGGCATCTTTGGCTATCTCGAGCCATTTTGGATGTCATCTTGGGCTCTCTGAGGCCCTCTTGGAGCCATCTTGGGCGAAAAAGTACCCTCTGACACCTCGCGGGGCGCCCCGTCCAGGTCCGGGCGAGGGGATATTGGGAACCAAAGCCGGCTCCAGGTGCGCGACGCTTGGACGAGGTGCGCCACGCGCCAGGGGCGCCAGGCATCCCTGGGACCCAAGCGTGCCAGGCACGCCTGGTACGCCAGATGCGCCACGTGCTCCGAGTGCGCCATGTGTGCCGCACACTCCAGCCGGGCCAGGTGCGCCGTATTCGGGGCGTGTGCAGAGTGCGTCAGGTGCGCCTGCGCACGTGGCAGCACACATCGGGAAACATGTCGGCCCCCGCCATCCTTGTCGAAGACCGATGCCCATCATTGTGTCTGCTGGGCCTGCGCACAGCATGCGGCGCGCCACCTCCCCCGCTGTCCCTGTCAAAAACGACTTGACGGTGATCGCGGGATGGCCGCGCATGATCCAGATTTAGCCGCGAGCTGCATGTTGTATTGTTTTTTTGTCAGGGAATGAGGAGGAACCGTCGTCGTCGTAGGAGGAGGAGAAGGAGGCAGAGGAGGAGGAAGAAGAGGAGGAGGAGGAGGGCGAGGAGGAGAAGGAGGAGGAGGACGAGAAGGAAAATAATGAGGAGAAGGAAAGAGAGAGAGCTGGGTACCTCGGATAACCTGGGGCCCTCTTGGGGCGCTTTTGGTAGCTTCAGGGGCGCTCTTGGGGCCATCTTGGAGGAGCCCACAAATCGTCTCTGAACATCTTGGGAGCCGACTTGAGGCATCTTCGGCTATCTCGAGCCATCTTGGATGTCATCTTGGGCTCTCTGAGGCCCTCTTGGAGCCATCTTGGGCGAAAAAGTACCCTCTGACACCTCGCGGGGCGCCCCGTCCAGGTCCGGGGGAGGAGATACTGGGAACCAGAGCCGACCCCAGGTGCGCGACGCTTGGGCGAGGTGCGCCACGCGTGCCAGGGGCGCCACGCGCGCCAGGCACCCCTGGCACCCAAGCGTGCCAGGCACGCCTGGTGCGCCAGATGCGCCACGTGCTCCGAGTGCGCCATGTGTGCCGCACACTCCAGCCGGGCCAGGTGCGCCGTATTCGGGGCGTGTGCAGAGTGCGTCAGGTGCGCCTGCGCAACGTGACAGCACGCATCGGGAACATGTCGGCCCCCGCCATCCTTGTCGAAAACCGATGCCCATCATCGTGTCTGGTGGGCCTGCGCACAGCATGCCACGCGCCACCACCCCCGCTGTCCCTGTCAAAAACGACTTGACGGTAGCCCTGCGCACAGCAGGGAATATGTTGACACCCCCGCCGTCCTTGTCAAAGACGATACAAAGTGCTCGCGGGCCTCATGACCATGACTCAAGAATTTGCCCCAAAGTGTACTTTGCATTGTTGTTTTCAGGGATGGTGGTGGGGGGGCGCATCGGGTTGGCCGCGCATGCTCCAAATGTGGAGGCAGAGTGCGGTTTGTATTGTTTTTTCGACAGGATGGTGGGGAGCGGTCCGGCATTGTGTCGGCATGGTTTCGGGTTGCCCCCCGGTCGCCCGGGGGAGGGGGTGTATATCAATAAGGAACGGTGATAAACCCCTCCCGGAAGAGGAAGAAGGGGGTTGGAAGAGGAAACTTCCTAGACCACCTGCGCCCAGACGGCCGGTGGGATTCATATTTTGAATGGACGATTGGGCAGGATCGTATGTACATGGCACATTCCCACGGGCCGGGGATAAGTCCGGCCTCGGCCTCGGGCGGTGTCCCAACTTTTGAAAGAAATGGGAATGTGGTGCAATCTATGCGATTCGGCGACGGGGCGGCGACGGCGGCGGCCGGGCGGCGACGGCAAGCCCGGAACCGCCAGGCCACCACCCAGGTCCAGACGACGCGCGGCGACGGGGCGGCGACGGGGCGGCGGCGGCGAGCACGGAGCCGCCAGACCGCCACCCAGGCCCACTTCCCTAGACCAGAAGTAAAAAAACCCTAAGTGCAACCACTACCACTTCGGGAACGTAGTCGTCGCGGCCTTCCCGCCAGGCGACGGCCGAGCTGCAGCACCTGCGCGTGAAGGCGGAGGCGTTGCGCGGGCTCCGCGCGCAGAACCTCGGCATGGAGCCGCCGGACAACGGCATCGCTGGGGCCCCAGCGCGGCAACGGCGGGCAATCAAGATGATCGAGTCAGAGGAGGGAGAAATTTAGAGAGTAATGCGACTCAGGATTTCCCGGATTTTCGCGAATTCCTAGATCGCCCAATGTTTCACACAGGCTGCAGAAACGAGGGCTGCTAGATGCTTCTTAATTCCTGGAACGTATCTTGAGCCAATCGCATCATGGCATCCTTCTCGTCCTTTCGAGGTTCGGGGATCGAGGAGGATCGATAGTCGAGGAGGATCGTTGGTCGAGTAGGATCGAGGAGGATCGAAGAGCATCGAGGATCGAGGATGATCGAGGATTCAGGTTCGAGGGGGGCTCGAGGATCGAGGACCGAGGAGGATCAAGGATCGAGGGTCGAGGAGCATCGAGAATCGAGGAGGAAAATGAGCCACGAAAGAAAATGGGGTTGTCTGCGCCCACATTCGCGCGAAGACTGCCTGTGTAAGGACGAGCGTGAGCGCCCTCGCTTCCAGTGTGGCTTGCCGCGCTGGCGGCCCGGGCAAGCCACCCCAAAAGCCTCCTCTCTTCTCGTCGCTCACATGGTCGAGACTCAGGGGTCGAGCAACATCGAGGATCGAGGAGCATCGGGGATCGGGCAGGATCCAGGATCGAGGAGCATCGGGGATCGAGGGCCGAGGAGCACCGGGGATCGGGGAGGACAGGCAGGGCAGGCGGGCTCACGAGCCCGCGCGAGCGGCCGCCCCGGGCCGAGGACCTCCTCGCTGGGGGCCTCCCTCGCGCGCCGGCGAGGGGCCCTGAGCAGCCCAGGAGCAGCGCGGAGCACACAGTCCGCATTTCGGCTTTCGGGGCTGGGTTCGCACTTGCGGGCTTTCGCAGTGCGGGCTTTCCAGGCTGGGTGTCTTGCGAGGGTGTCCTGCGGCCGCGTCCGCACCGCACGACGACCAACAGCAGTTCCTGTCCACTTGTATCAGGAGTCGCTGTTGCTGGCGCCGCGGGCGTGCCCATCTGAGACACAAGCGTCGCCTGCCCAACAGTGGCCCTGATCAGCGTACAAAGGGGAGAATCTGCAGCGGCCTAAACACAAAACGGTGGGAGCTCCGCGCGGAATTCCTTGGATCGGCGCTGGGCCCCCCTCCCTGGCGCGCGAAGCCCTCCCCATGGCCCCGTCCTCGGCGCCTTCCTTGCGCGCGTCGCGCGCAAGAGCTGGGGTGGGGTCCCGTGCCGATCCAAGAAGTCCGCGTGGACCTCCCAAAGTATACGTGTATGTCATGCTTCATCTTGGCACTGCTCGGACGTGTGCATGTGCTGCTCTGCGTGGCAAGCGCCAGAACATCTGGACTATCTAGGAGCAGCTTTGATCATCTTGCGGAAAAGCGAAATTTACGAAATTGAAGCATGCCCTGGGAATGGACGTCCGAGCGCTGGAAAGATTTAGCTCCGAGGAGGGCAAGCAGTGCATGATGCGGGGCCCGCGAGCTGCCGCCCCAGGCAGCGGCCGCGCGGCGCTCGCAGCGCGCCCGGGGCTCGCAGCCGCCCGGGTGTCCAGGGCGAGCATGCAGTGTTCTTGCGCGCTCGTGCCCGAGAGGTCGGCGCTCGTTGTTTTCGTGCTTGTGGCGATCGTTTGGCCCCGCGCCCCGGGGCCCGTCGCCGTCACCGCAACTGAGGCCGCTGAAGTTCCTCATGTGGCTCCCTCCTCCTGCTGCCGATTCTCCTGCTCCTCCTGCTCCCCCTCTTCCTCTTCCTCCTGTCGCTGTCGGCATCGGTGTCACAAGTGACGCTGGCACCCTCCTCGCCCTCCTCCTCATCTTCCTCCTCGCCCTCCTCCTCCTCCCCAGCGACTCCTGGCGGCGGCGTCGCCCGAGGCGCGCGCGAATGGGCCGGAGGAGGTGGGAGGACTTCGGGTTCGAGTGCTGATAGTCTTCGAGGGTTGTCGAGGGTCGAGGTCCTTCGAGCTCGAGGATCGAGTGTAGAGGTCCTCGGGCTCGAGAATCGAAGTCGGCGTCGTCTTTTGTCCGTGTCTGGTGGCTCGCCTCTGGTCCTCCCCTTCCCCTCCCCCCTCCCTGCGCGGAGAGAAGGAGGAGGCTGCGGGGAAGCGAGGAGGAGGAGGAGGAGGAGGAGGCGGGAGGAGGATCTAACCGAGCTGTTCAGCAAGCGTGGGGGCAGGCTACCCCTGGCCCTGGCCTCAGCCCCCTCGCTACCTGATCGTGCAAAACTCAGGGCGCACGTGCCACTTGTGCCTTGCAGGTTAGCCTCCCCACCTTCTTGTCTCCCGCCTCCACAACCGCTGGGCCCTCGATGCGATCGTAAAGAAGTCCAGAGCCCTTGCGTGCGGCGGGTTCAGCCCACTCTCTGCGCCTGAAGCGCTACCAGCAAGGGACAGAAGGTGGATGAAGGGGCGGCGGGAGAGGCAGCAAAGGTGCGTGGAGCAAGGGCGTAACCCCCCAAAAGGCAGATTCGCAAAAGGCGGGCGGTCTGGCCATGCGTCTGGAGGGACGCGTGGGTACTCCCGGGTGGGGCACGTGTAGCGCTCTGCGTGGCGCAAGCAAGGCAGACATGGCTCCCTCCTGGCCGATATACGCAAGCCAGCCGTATTGAGCACTGATGTATTCACTTTCCAGTGAGTGCCTAATTGTTCACGGCCAATGACCTTTACGCTATAGGCCACGCGGCCGAGACAACAGTCGGTTCGACTTCGCTGAGCGACACGACAACGACGGCCATCACGAATTCGACGTGCCGTTCCGGCACCGGTGGTACATCCTTACAGAGCGGCATGACCAATGACGACCACCAGCTCTGTCGAGATGATGGCAACCACACGCTCGACGAGTGGTTCGAGTCCTAGCGGTTCGGCGCAAAATCGAAATGTCACGGAGTTGGCGCGTCACGGAATTCTACTCCACATATCGTGTGACGCTACGCCTGCGTCAGCACCGACACCAGTACCGACGCCAACATCAATGCCAGCGCCTCCACCAGTACCGACGCCAGCACCAACGATGGCACCTACGCCAGCGCCGACGCCAGCACCGGCACTAGCACTTTGGCCTGCGCCTACGCCGGCACCAACGCCAGCGCCTACACCAGCGCCGACGCCAACACCGACGTCAGCAGCAAGGGTGCACCCGTGAGCTGCCCAGCTCACCGGTGTTCCTTCCAGCCCAGACGCCAGTACCAGTCCCAACGGCAAACCCGACTCCCCCACTCCGACGTCCAATCCCGACGCCAGCACCAACGCCAGAGCGTACACCAGTGCGCACGCCCGCCGACGCAAGCACCGACGCCGGCGACTATGCCAGCACCAACGCCAGCGCCTACACCAGCACTGGCGCCAGCACCGACGCCAGCACCAACGCTACGCCAGCACCAATGCTGGCGCCTATGCCAGCATCGACACCAGCACCGACGCCAGCACCGAGATGAAAACGATGAAAGCGACCGATCCGTGAGTCGCACTTTTGATTCGCCCCACCGCCTCCCCCTGGGGGCCCTACGCCTGGGGTGGCAGGGGACCGCTGCGCTCTCCCCCCCTCCTTCTGCTGCTGCGGCCTCCTCCCTCCCTCCTCTTCCCGTCTCTCTCCTGTCGTCGTCGTCGTGCCGCCGCCGCCGCCTCCGCCGCCGCCGCTCCCTCCTCCGCCGCCGCCGCCGCCGCCGTTCTCGTCGTCGTCCTCGTCGTCGTTGTCGTCCTCTTCTCGTCGTCGTCGCCGTCGTCGCCGGCGTCGCTGTCGTCGTCGTCGTCGTCGTCGTCGTCGTCGTCGGCGTCGTCGTCGTCGTCGTCGTCGTCGGGGTGCGGTCCTCTCCCTGCCTTGGGCTTGTGGCCCCCCTCTGGGGGGGTGGCGTCCGATGGTAGTGGTGTAGTGCTCAGTTCCCCCACCCCTCGCCTCCTGCGTCCTTCCCGTTACGGTCACAACGTTGTTTGCATGTTTTTGTTTGTTTTTTATCCGTGCGCTGTCCCCCGATCTCGGGGGCGGCGTCCGCCGCCCAGGGGGAGACGGGGACGGTTTGCTCTCGGAGCTTCCCGTGCCTTGCGCCCCCCTCGCGCGGCTTCAGAACCTTATTTGATCTTGCCGTTCGCTCTCGACCTCCTGCTTCCTCCTCCTCCTCCTCCTCCTCCTCCTCCTGCGCCTTGCGTCGCATCGGCAACCGTGGCACTAGGTGCCCGCTCATCTGGCGAAGCGGCAAGGCCCTTCCAACCAGGTTAATTCGGGGCCTACTTCAGCCTGCGGCCCCAGTTTGCACTAGACTCGCGTGGGACCGCGTGGGACTCCTGTGCGCGCGCCGGTTCTGGCACTGCCCAGAGCGTTTGGTCTTCGCACGCGCGAGGTGTTCCGACGAGCATTCGGTGGCTTGTCACTCTCCTTTGGCGTCTCTCCTTCTTCTCCTCCTTCTCCCCCATCCCGCGCTTAGTGCGGCACACCAGCGTCCACCCAGCAACCAGCAACGGTGTTGTCTGGTGTTGTTTGCTTCGGCTGGTTGCCCATTCGCTTTCGTCTTTTCGCCTCTCTCCCCTTCGCTGCCTCTCCTGCCTCCTAGCTGCGGTCCGATGTTGGCCCTTTCTTCATCTATGTTTCGGGTTGACCCTGCAGGGTAATCCAAAGGTGTCTACGCAGCACTTCTTTCATCTGATAGCCGCCGCCTCGCGCCTTCTCGTGGCCTCCTCCGCCGCTCGGCTTCTGGCATGGGCCAGCTGCCGCGGGAAGCGTGTAGATCGCTCACCGTCGGTGGCCCTGGGAGCCCGCGAGCCACCAGAGAACTCCTAAGGGGGTAACAAATGTTGAGTCCCTGCGTTGGGTTCATATTTTTGCCGTGCCTCGTTCCTCCATCCTTCCTCCCTCAGTGTCCTGTTTTTCCCTTATCATCCGTTTCCCCCTCCTCCCTGCCCATGATATGATTGTTTTGTTCCTCCTCATCCTCTTTGCTCGCCCCTTCTTCTCCGCATTTTACTTCCTGGTGCTCCTCATTTTCCTCCTTCCTCCTCCTCTCTCCATCTCCCTCTTCCCTCCTTTCTCCTGCCTCCCTGCACTCCTCCCCCCTCCGCCTCATCCTCACTCCTCACTCCTCCCATCTCCCTCCCCATCCTCCCTCCCTCTTCCTCGTCGGTGCAGCGACCTCTTTGCTACATAACCATGTGCCACTCCTCCAGCCCCGCTTCCTCCCGTTCTGCCTGCCTTCCTGCCCTTCCCTGTCTCTTCCCCCGCTGCGCCTTCGCCTGGTGCGTCTCCCTGCCGGAGACTGTGTTTCGGTCCGGCGATAACCTGGGTTATCGGGCCCGCTTGCCGCCCCCCTCCACCCAGATAATTTGACCTTGTCGGTTGCGCAGGCCCGAAGGGGTGCGCAGTACTAGTGCGCGTGGGCATACGCCGGGCTGCCCAAAGCGAAAAGGTCAGGTCAACGGCCGTAACATCGCCCCGACTCCATTGGATAGCCCGGGCGATCACTGAAAAATGAGAGAACAAAAATACGTTTCCGGTTCCGCTTTCTTTCCCGTCCGGGACCGCCCGTTGGGGCCCATGGTCGTCGGGGATTGGACGTGAGGAGAAGGAGGAGGAGGAGGAGGAGGAGAAGGAGGAGGAGGAGGAGATGAAGCGGAGGAGGAGGAGGAGCAGCAGGAGGAAAAAGAGGAGAAGGAGGAGCAGGAGGAGGAGGAGGAGCAGAGGAAGTGGTGGAGGAGGAGGAGGAGGAAGGAGGAGGAGGAGGAGGAGGAGGAGCTCGCCTGGGCCGCCGCGGTGGCCCGGCCAAGGAGAGGCTTGAGCAGGAGACCGAGCAGCTGGCCCGGGACCTGGAGGACAGCCACGCGCGCGGTGCTCGCCCCTCCACCTGCCCCTCCCTTCCCCCCCTGGCCACTCCACCTCCTCCTCCCCCCCCCCTCCCGGGCGCCTGTCCACCTCCTCCTTCCCCTCCACCTCCTACCCCCTCGCCCTTCCACCTCCCCCCTCCTCCTCCAACGCGACTCCTGCTGCTCCTCCTCCACCTCCCCTTCCTCCTCCTGCTCCCCTTCTCCTTCTCGTTCTCCTCCTCCTGCTCCTCCTCATCCTCCTCCTCCACCTCACCCTCCGCCTGCTTCTCCCGCGGGCCTAGAGCCCAGGATTATGCGGTACGTTCGCGTCGTGTTGACGTGGCGACGACCCCAACTTGGGCCTCCAGGGTTGAACGCCGCCTTTGGCCCAGAATCGGTCGATGTCGCACGGTCCACGCCATCGGAAAGCCGCAATCGTTCAAGGCCGAACGATCCACGCGGTGTTAGAAACGAACGCACGAGTCATCAGGGCACGACCTTGTCATCTATCCGCCTCGTCGTCTCTCTCAGCTCCGCCTCCTGATATCTACGTGTCGCAGCTTTGACGTACGATCGGTCGCATGTTTACTTGAGGTTTTCTGATGTCGTCCTTCTCTATTTCATGTTCCAATTTGGCATATGCACGGCAGAAGTGGCATCACGTAGAGCAACAAGTTGGCATACCGTTGCGTCGGGTATTCCGTGGGAAGGTTAATGAGTGGACTGTTCATCATGTTAGGCGGTTAGGCAGTGGTGTTGGAGCCACAGAGCAGGAAGTGGTATTTACAGGATGCCAAAGAGAAGGGTCGGCAGGCTCAGCAGAGTCGGCATCATTGAGCGCGATGGCTACTCCAGGGAACAGATGAGGCATGGGGGCAGATGCGCACAGCAGTGAGGAACGCTGACTTTCACTGACCGGTGTCGCTGCATCTCTGGAGAGCAGAGCCGCTTTAGAGCCGCACTGCAAAGGACCTCCGCTCCACGGAGGACGCGCGCAAAACCACCATCGAGGAGCTGGAGCGCGAGCAGGAGGAGCTCGTCGCGAAGACGAGCATGATCACGGGGAAGGCCCCCGTTTCCGCGCTGGGCACGCTTGCCCCCCCTGCCCCCGCCCTCCGATTTGGTCACGCAGCGATCGCCAGCTCGGAGCCGACTCCGACGTGGTGACACTGATCAGGGAAGGGCTTGTTGCGGCAACGGCATTTGGCGTTCGGTGGGGCCCTCGTCGCCATATTTGGGCGCAGCTCGGAAAGCTGGTGCGTTTGGCTCTCGGGAGGGGGGTCCAGGGACAGATGTTGAGTTGCCGTTGTCTCAATCGAGGCCTCCCAGATGGGGTTCGAGTATAGATGGGGTCGGAAGATCGCGCCGCATCGCCGATGCATTGGCGATGCGGCTCGATGTGGAGCCAGAATTTCTCCGCGCCGTGACGGCGCCGGTGCATCGCCGACGTCGCAGATGCATCGGCGACGCATCCTCTATGTACCGTCGCTGCGGCGTGGCCCTCCGACCCGATCGAGAAGGCCTACTCAGCGTTCCCGCGCACGCTCGAACTTTCCTTTCTGTCATGCCTGTATGCTGTAGTCCTCGTGTTGCTGCCCCGCCGTGCAGGAAATAGGCAGCGTGCGCGGCGGCACCTCGCGCACGGGTTTGGCGCCCAGGGTTCCGCTCACGTGATACTCTTGCGTGGGGTTTTCATGGTACCCCGACTCTCCCTCTCCCTCTCTCTCTCTCTCTCACTCTCGTTCTCTCTCTCAATTTCTCTCGCTCTCCCTCCCTCTTTCTCTGTCTACGGTGCCCTCCCTCCACTCAAGAGGCTTGCGCCATTCCGCCGACCCCAAGTGGAACAACGAAGTCCACGAGTGGGCCCATTTGGGGGCCTCTTTGGGGCCTTTGGGGACAGTTTCGGATTTTTTGGGGCGCCTGATGGCGGTCTCGGGGTCCTCTTGGGGCGGAGGGTTCGACATGTCAGTTTGAGTTACCCCTCTTGGGGCCTCTTGGGACCCTGTTGGGGCCCTCCTCGGCCATCTTGGGCGTGCCCTCTTGGGCCGCCTGCGATATTGCGGGCCGCTTGAGCAGTCTTGGACGCTGTTGAGACCGAAGAGGCCAACATTTTAGACATGCGCTTTCCCTCGGGATTGGGGCGATTGTTGCCTCGTGAGGCTTGCTTAGGGGGTCCTCTTGAAGCCTTCTTGGGGCGTCTTGGAGGCCACTTAGGCAGTCTTGAGGCCATCTTGGTTGTTTTTGAGACCTCCTCGGCGTGGTGGAACCCAGCTCGAGCCAGCTGAGAGTCCACGGAGTGTAGAGATTTTGAGGTTCCGGAGGCCCCAGGGGTGCGCTCAGGATCCCCGGGGTCCCCCCCCTTCAAACGCGATTTTAGATTCTTCGCTTAGGTCGGGCCTATCCCCCTACAGGCGGTTTTTGATGACAAATAGAACATAGTCAAAAATATGCAAAAATAGTCAAAACAGAATCGAAAAGTCGTCGCGAGACTATTTTGCTATTATTCTTGAATATTTCTGCTGTAGAGGGACATGCCCGACTTAATGCTGTTTGGGAAGAGGAAAAGGTGGACGGGGGACAGCCACATGTCTCACACACCTTTTCACCCCCGGCAAGCGGCATCCGTCGGATCTTACTCTCCTTCTCTCTCTATATATCTCGGTTGCCCTTGTGATCCACCCAAGCTCCCATGCGGTGTTTGAATTCCTCTCGCGCTTTCTGCCCTCAATTTCTTCTGTTCCAGATTTCAGCTTGCGCCTTCTAGAACATGTAAGTTGGATCCTTTCGCGAGGCCGCCACAACAATAGCATGTTGCGCAGTGCTGCAACGAAAGGATTCCTTGTTGTAATGCCGCCGCGACAGGAGTATGCTTGCAAGGCTGCCGCACAAGAAATGTTTGTGCAAGGCCGCCGCAAAACAAATGCTTTATACGGCTGGGCCGTTTGGGCAGCCAGCCGTAGAAAGCAAGGAACACAATGAAGCATTGTGGAAGCAATACAACCTAAGCGAAAAACATTCGAAACAACGCAGATGCATTGTTTTCATATGTTCCCATTCGGTTGTATTTTCGCTGGGTTGTCAAAACGAAATGTTGATGATACCCTTACTTGTGTGTCTTTGTGTGTTCCTTGTGTTCGTTGTTTTCATGCTTGTTTTTCGGTTGTCCGCGGAAGCTGCCGAAATTGGTCACACAAGAAGAATCATGGTGTATCTCCGTCAGAACAGGACTTCATGTATAATGCCGCCACAACGGGATTGTTGATGCAAGGGCGCCAAATCTGAAATCCGTTTGGCGGCCGCGGCAGGGTTCTTTCTGTAAGTTTGCCAAACCATCAGGATTCTGATTGCAAAACCGCTGCTCAAGCAATTCTAGCATATCCCCGGCACACAAGCAATGCTTTTGTAAGGCCGCCACGCAAATCATATTTTTTGCCCCGCCGCCGCCGCCAGCATATTCCTGTTGCAAGGACGCCAGAACAGGAACTTCTTTGTAGGACCGCCACGGAAGGAATCCTTGTGAGCTCGCCACAAATAATCTTGTTGCAAGGCCGCCGCAAACATTGTTTTAAGACCGCCACATGAAATCCTGCTGCCAGGCCGCCGCAGGAAGATTCCTTCTGCAAGACCAGCCAGTAAGACATCCTTTTGCAACGCCGCCACCAAGGTAATCTCTCTCTGCAGGGTCTCCACAGAAATATTATCTTCCTACGGTGCACGTATCTTGAGATTGCTAGGCGGAGATGGGATCCACGGACCTTTTCCCGGCAGGGGTGTAAATAGTTGCTTCCCCTCATCTATAAATTCGCGAGCAAGATTGGCGTGATCACAGTACCCATCATGGTTTGCCCCCGCCAGTTTCTCAACAACCTGTTGACTTCACTCACTTCCCTTACCTTGCTCTATCACATAAGATTTGTCCTGGACTACTCCCCGAGTCCGACTGCGGATAGAATCCAAGGAAATATTCGCATCTGGCAACATTCTCGATCTCCATGGATCCCCCATGAACCGCCGACCGAGGCAGCCAATCCTCCAGACATCCATACAGTTCCCTGGTCATGTCGTTCTGGGTGTCCTGCATGGTTGTGATGACACACTTCACGACAATTATGAATTGCGTCTCCTTGTTATATCCAGGGCACCTCTCTCTCTTGTGATGATACTTCCTTGCCTCGACCGTCATACCACGGTCAGCTGCTGTTCGATGATCTCTGCTGTATCCTTGTTGCTGCAAGCGTCTATCAGGTTGTACTGAGTTGAGGCACCTTCATGGGCTGCTTTACTCTTCCATCTCCACGTGCTGGGCTTTAATGGCCGCCATAGTGATGACAAAAGGTGGTCACCACCATGACGCGTTGCTGTAGATGGCTCAGCCAAAACGGCTGTCTGTAGTACGCCCCAGAAGATCCAGTTGTCCAATTCTGTAGTCCACTACTTCACCAGCGGCGTCAGCCGGTCCTAGTTGCAACGCACCACCAACTCCCACGAGGCAGCGCTATAATGCCTCGAGTAGGACGGCAACTGGCTTGGCAATAGGGCTCCCAGTACTGTTGTGCTCCTGAACTCCCGGGCCTGATATTGCACAAATGTTTTTTTAGCTCCCAGGTTGACTCCCATGATCTCCAGCAGTCGCATGAAATCAACTCTGGTCAAATACTTGGTGCCGATGTCCACTGTGTTGATGTCGGTATGGATCTTCCTTGCGCTGACCTTGGTCTCCTCCGTCCTGGTGACCAGGTGCCCAACCCACAGACCCTTCAGCCTGGTGTGCCGTATGCGTCCGACTCCTTTTCTTCTCGACGTTGGTCAGTGCACTGCGGTTGCCGCTCTCCAGAATCACTGGCGCCGCATAGTCCAGCAGCTCCTTGGTGTAGGTCTGAATTCCCTTCGCCTCGATCCCGACGCGAACAGTCGTATTGTACTTGACCTCTGGCGACGATGGCGCAGGAGCGCCTTGGGTCTTCACGAACTGCATCACCAAAGCTCCATTGACTATCAGCTGACCACAACTGGTAGACTTGTGTCCAATCGGGTCATCGTCCCGATTTGAATAAGCACGCCCCACGGTTTGCAAGTTCTCGCGCCTCGGGTGCATGGTCGCGACAGCCGAAGGATGCCGCCGAAGGAACCTTCTGATCCTGTCGAGGCGCTGCTGGTCCTGCATAGTGGGTCGTGGCATCCCCTTTCGAACGCTCCTTGGCTGCATATTGGCACTCACGGAAATCCAGGCAAGCAAACATGTTGAGACCATTTGCCGCTCGAACTTCCGCGGCCGCCTTCGAGTATAATTTCCTCGCTCCTTACTTTTCTCTCGGTCTCCACTCCTGGCATTGGGCTTATCTTCTGTTGTCGTCTGGGCCGGCCCCAAGAAGGCACTTCGCGATGGCGGGCCACGCGCGAATTTGGATGTCTTCGGGGGTGCGGAGCCAGCCGCGTCCCAAGTGCTTGATCTCCGATCCCCAAACATACAGGGCTGATATCTTCAAACATAAGTTCTTCCCAAGCTGTCCTCAGAGCACTGTGCGCCAACTCCCGTGGGCCGACCACCGCACCGTCGTCCACGTGCTTATATACTGCCGCCAACTATCCTTGTCGGCGAATGTGCATGGGTCCGATAAGAGCGTCATGAGCTGCATATGAGAATCCTCGTCCCGTCCTGTAGCCATATTATCGAAGTGCACATCGATGTCCACCATCGCCTCGTTGAGGCCGTACACCGTCCTGTTGAGCTTGAACACCCAGTCCGAGTTGTCGGGCAGGTGCATATACGTTTTCGATATTTCCGTATCGACACGCTCTAGGACCAGGGCGCGCAGAAATCCTTAGAAATATGTTGAATAAGGTAATCGAGAAGACTTTGACCACTGCGTAGACCACCGGGACCTTCAGTGAGAATGAAACAGGCGTCGGGCAGTAGAGCTCATTCACTCTTCGGCACCTCCTTGCCGAAAGGTCGTGAACATGATCTCGCCTTGAGCTCTCCGCTTCGCTGCTCCAGCACCCACTTCCAAGTGAGCGCTTTGGACACTCTCGGATCCCTTTGCTGCAGTTCCCATGCGCCGTAGGTGTCGGACTTGTCCATCACGATCTGCTTCGCCCCCATGTCGTCTTCAGGCGTCCACCCAGCAAGCGTGAACTCGCCGCTCTCCTCGGTCTCCTTGTCGATCTCTCCGATGAGCTGGAGCATCTCCTTGTTGCTGAAGCCTGCCGCAGGCTCCTTCAGCTCGGACTCGCCCAACGCCCCGATCGCGCCAACGATGCTCCCACTCCCGGGTGGACCTCCTGGGCCTCCCTCTCCGAGATCTGCTTCGTCTTCATCTGACTTGATGCAATTGGAACGTCACTCGAAACATCCTGCTTGCCACGCAGGCGTCGCTGTACCTGGAGTCGTACTTGTGTCACGGGGTCCTGCAGTCGAACTCCTTTCTGGAATGGTCCAGCATAGGCGGCTTGACTTGGGACTGGGACCACAACCACCTTCGGTGACCCGTCTGACTTTGATGCCATCGCTTTCTAGCATTTTGCACGACGTTGCTGACAGGTCCTTGAGTGATAATGTGGACGCCCCTGTCCATGCTGACCTTTAGCTGCGTGCTCACATCCAGGTCATCCCTCCGTCGGCTGCCAATTCCCCCCATTGTAGACACCAGCCTTCACTGGCATCTACCACGGCGTCCAGTGCATCACAAGGCGCCTGCAGAGCAGGGAGCGCCCGCGGCGCCCGCAGCGCGGCGCCGGCAGCGCCAGCAGCGCCAGCAGCGCCAGCAGCGCCAGCAGCGCCAGCAGCGCCAGCAGCCCTGGCGGCACCCACAGCGCCCCCGGGGCGCCCGCAGCGCCAGCGGCGCCCGCGTCGCCAGCGTCGCCCGCAGCGCCAGCAGCGCGGGCGGAGGCAGCCTCCCACTGCCACAGTCGCCGCGCCGCCGCAGTCTCCATCGTGCCGGGGCCGGAGCGCCGCACTTGAGCCAGAGGCGTGCTCGAGCCCAGACGGCTTGAGCCAGAGGGGAGGTGCGGACGCGCACGCACGCACGCACTCACGCACGCACGCACGCACGCACGCACGTACGCACGCGCGGACACGCACGCACGCACGCACACACACACGCATGCACACACACGCACGCACACGCACACGCACACACACGCACACACATGCACACACACGCACACACACACGCGCACACACGCGCACACACGCGATCGCAAGCACACACGCACGCACATACATTACATTACATTACATTACATTACATTACATTACATTACATTACATTACATTACATTACATTTCATTACATTTCATTACATTACATTTCATTTCATTACATTACATTACATCACATTTCATCACATTACATCACATTTCATCACATTTCATCACATTACGTTACATTCCATTATATTACATTATATCACATTACATTACGGTACGGTACGTTACAGTACATTACATTACATTACATCATTACATCAAATTACATCACACTACATTACATGACATGACATTGCATTACATTACAATACATTACATTACATTACATTGCATTGCATTGCATTACATGCATACAGACATACAAACAAACAACCAAACATACTTACATACATATATATATATACGTACATACATACATGCATGCATACATACAAGCAGACATACATACACGCACGCACGCACACACATACACACGCACACACACGCACACACACACACGTACACACACAGACGCGCACGCACGCGCACACCCACACGCACACAAACACACACACACACACACACACACACGCACACGCACACGCACACGCACACGCACGCGCACACTCACACGTGCACGCACGCGCACACGCACACGCACACGCACACGCACACGCACGCGCACACGCACACGCACACGCACACGCACCAAAGACAGCCGACACTCCCATCGCCGAGCGGTGGGCCACCCCCCTCTCACAAAGTTTCCACCAACAAAGAGTCTCTCGGCCTCCTGTAACATGCCGCACGATTGTTCGCCGAACGGCGCGGACTTTCTCCCCGAAAAGATGCCCCACGCGCGCGCGCGCGCCCGAGCAGCTGTCATACAATCCTTAAAATTGCAAAATTGTCATAAGCCCCCGCCGGCCCCCCTTGAAAAATCCCCTGCCTCCGACCGATTGCCACTGCCGCCCAAAAGTTGTCGCACACCCCTCGCCGAACGGCGGCCCCCCCGCCCTTCCCGGAGAGTCGCCCCCAACCCCCCCCGGAAAGATTTCATTTCCGAGGCGGGACCAGCCACCGAGGGGCCGAAAATCACAGAAAGACCTTCCGTCGCCTTTTTCTCCCCAGCGCGAGCAAGTGAAGGAAAAACATGTCCCCATCCTCCTCAGCTCGCCGCCGTCCTGGCCTTGCACAGGCGGCGCCGGCGCGCCCCCGCCACGGCCCCCCGGGATCGGAGCCGCAGGCCGTGCCGATCCAAGGGGGCGACGCTGGGGAGTACGTGTTCGGGCTGGAGGAGAAGGCCTTCTGCTGCCGCGCCGGGGGATGCATGTGCACGTGTGAATTTGCATTCGGGTCCCAGTGGGGCCCATATATATATATATGTATATATATATATCGATCGGCCGCCCGCTGGAATCCTGGGACATCGGTTCCCCGGGCGGTGGGTGTGGATAAAACACTGCCTCGCAAAACGAACCCGGGCCATTCCGAGCCTGCCGACGCCGCGGACAAGACGCACAGTGGCCAAGCTTCTCCGCTCCTGCCGGTCAGGGTGCCTCTGGGGTCGGCCTCTGGGGTCGGCCTCAAGGCCGACACCAACAGCAAGATCGACGATGTGCCCCCGCCGAGGGAGGATGCTCCTGATCTCGGTGGTGGTGGTGGTATGGGGGTTTCCAGAGTGGCCGCCACCAGCGCCGACCCCCTGTGTTGGTGTTGGTGCCCATTTCAAGGCTTCCAGAGGGGGCCGGGAGTCGAAGGGAAAACACTTGCATAGACATAGTTTGTCAGAGGTTCGCGCGGATCGTCTTGGATCGGCGCCGGACTGCGGAGGCGCCGCCAGAGGGGGGCCAGCGCCGACCGCGGAGACATCCCAGAGCTTTCTATGTTTGAAAGAGCGTGTTCTACCGCTGCTGGCGGAAAACCGGGGGGGGTCACTACCGGTTCGAACCCCTCCCCCCCCCCCTCCGGAAAACCGGGGGGGGTCACTACCGGTTCGAACCCCTCCCCCCCCCCCCCCCAGCTCATCATGAAAAGGGGGGGGGGTCACTACCGGTTCGAACCCCTCCCCCCCCCCCCCTCGAAAACCGGGGGGGGTCACTACCGGTTCGAACCCCCCCCCCCCTCGAAAACCGAGTGGGGGTGCGGACAGTGGTGGGGACGGTGTTGGTGGGGACAGTGGTGAGGGGATAGCGGGACAGTGGTGGGGACAGTGGGACAGTGGGACAGTGGTGGGGACGGTAGTGGTGGGGACAGTGGTGGGGACAATGGTGGGAACAGGGGGGGACAGTGGACAGTGGTGGTGACGGTGGTGGTGGGGACAGTGGTGTGGGGACAATGGGAATGAGGTGGAAACAGTGGGACAGTGGAGGGTACAATGGTGGTGGGGACAGTGGTGAAGGCGGTGGCGAGGACGGCGGTGGGACAATGGGACAGAGGTACAGTGGGGACAGTGGTGGGGACAGTGGGGACAGTGGTGGGAACAGTGGGACAGCTCAGTGGGACAGCGGAGGAGTCAGTGGGACAGTGGGGACAGTGGGATAGTCGGGCAGTGGTTGGGGCCGTGGAGACAGTGGGGAGAGTGGAACCGTGGTGGGAACAGTTCTGGGGACAGCGGGGACAGTGCGACAGTGGTGGGGCCACTGGTGGGGACAGTGGTGGGGGGGAGGTGAGGACAGTGGTGCTGGGAACACCAGTGGGGGATGTGATGCGGACGGTGGTGGGGACCGGGAGTCGTTTGCTGGCGGTGAGTAGGGGGGGGGGGAGGGGGGGGGGGGGGGGGGGGGGGGGGGGGGTGGGTTCGAACCGGTAGTGGCCCCCCCGGTTTTCCGGGGGTGGGGGGGGGGGGGGGGGTTCGAACCGGTAGTGGAGGGGGGGGGGGGGGGGTTCGGTAGTGACCCCCCCGGTTTCGGGGGGGGGGGGGGGGGGGGGGGGGGTTAGGGGACGGGGCCGGGGAAGAGGGGGGGGGGGGAGGGGTTCCAGCAGGGGGGGATTTTCGGAGGGGGGGGGGGGCGACCCCCGGGTTCCGGAGGAAAAGGTTGGCAATTTTCCATAGTAAAGCGGCGGTGGATCACGCTCTCTCTTATGTTTATAGGCATACGTTTGTGGAGCTAGCTGCACGTGCATGTATATGTCAACATAGATGTATAGATGTAAAGCTGCGGGCCCCGCGTCGCGGGAAAACGCCCTTTTCGACGCCATAGGTCCGAAGCAAAGGTTGTTGCCAAGCTGAGCCCAGCTCGCGCCTGCTTTTCGGTTCCCTCATCCAGAATTGCGGAGGATGGGGCTGTGGCTTTGTGTGGCCTTTCGTGTGTGCGTTCGATGCTTGCCTGCCCGTTGGTGGCCATTTGTGGCCACAAGAGCTCGGTGCTGTCGCACGTGTTTTGGTCACGACGCACAAGTAATACGGGATTGCGTTTGTTTCGACTGCGGC